TAGGGGCTTAGGGTTTAGGATTTTCTAAGAGCCGAATCCTAAAACCCTGACACAGACATGGCTGCTTCAGCTGGCATCATGGATTTCGACATGATCAGGGGCCTTGGAAGCTTAGGTTTCGGGGTCTCGGTTTGGGCATCGTGCATGCGGCCAGCTAGCGTCTGAGCCCTTGCAGACATAGCCTGCTGGGCTTCGAGGTTCCGACCTCTGTTTCCTGCTTTCATGCATCTCTGTCTCGTGCACTTCTTGTTTCAAAGGTGTTATGGTCAATAGCATCTTTAAACGTCTCTCTCCGCGCGAGGTGCGCGGAGTCAGCGCGGAGTCTCCTTCTTCTTCCGTCTTCCTCTGCTTGGCCTGGCCCTACGCCAGGCTCCAACCCTCGGGGGGGCAGAGTTGAGTCGCGCTGGTCGCTACTGTATCAAGATCTGATGTTGCCAGCTGCTACTGCCACTGGGCCATTGGGGAAGGCATCCCCCGGCCCTGAATGACAAGCTCGAAACTCGAAATCCAACAGCTTGAGCCCCAACACCCCGAAGCCTCAAATCCTCACCCATCTTCGCACAGAGTCCGGCGCCCAAACGAGAAACTCGTGGAAGTCCACTGACGGCCCTGACCGCGACTCCACCTGCCAAAGAGCTCGAAGTTGACCACTGATAGCGTAGAGCTCTTGTCATAAAGACGGTCATCGGTTATGTGCTCCTAAATACTCGTTGCTTTCTGCAGTTCCCCTCCGCTGGGGGGACCTGCACCGGTGAGTCGCCCTCATCTTGCGAGCTCGCATGGCAGCCAAGCCTGGCTTTCGGCATCCAAATCTTGTGGGGTCTTGGGTTTAAGGGCTGCGAGTTTGGGGTTCGACGGTTCAAGCATCTTTCGCCCCTTGCACTCGAAGGACCTAAGAATCTTCCTGTTTAGAGCTTCAGGCTGTGGGCTTGGGCGTTAACGGGTTTTGCCTGGCCCGTGGGGACATGGTTGAAGGGCATGCGCCCACGAGGTTTCAGGACTCATGGCATTGATTCCAAGCTTCAGGGCTGCCTTGCTTTTCCCCTTAAGCGTTGGGCGTGCATGGTCAACATGAGACCCAAGCGAGGAGTTCAGAGTTTGGTATGTACAAGCGAAGCGTGGGCAGTTGTACCTTACATAGCTTCAGCCGTCCCACCGGGAGCTCTACGTGGTTCGCCGACTGGTAAACCTGCTACAGTTATACAGAGTGTGCAGAGGGACCACATGAACGAATATTGCGGCTGCTAAGATGTTCAGAAACGAGCACCGTGGAGCTCCCGATCGACGCAGAAAGCCTCCATCGAGCAGCACCTTTGGCTGCTCGAGAGGCAGCCCGTCTTCGTTTAGGGGAGGCACGCTTCAGGCAGAGGATGATGGACGGCCAGCTTCTTGACTTTGCCTTGCCTGCTTCCACAAGAAGCAGTCATGAACAAGGCACGCTCCATGGATGAACACTCTGGGGCCTACTAATCTATTCCGAAGCCGGTGTACTCATAGACCGACCACGAAGAAGAAGGCCAAGTAAGTGTAGCAATGTAAGGTCGGGATGATACATCGGCAGTGCATTGCTGCCAATCTGGACATGCAGAACAGCCATCAAACCCTACACTGCATCCGCAACTGCCAAACGCTTTTCGATCCCTGCACAGCAAAGCAAGTCTAATGCAGGAGGGCTGCAACAGGAGAACCGGCCCCAATTGGCACCAGCTTTGCAAACCGACTACGGAGCATGAGATCTGCTGGGAAATCAGCCCACAAGCACTCTGGAACATGGGTCGGTCAATTGTCAGGGAGCTGTTTGTATCTGCTACGCGTGCGAGACGAGAGGAGACTCGAAGTGTGTAACCTCGCCTGGACGACGCCGTCAGAGCTTTAGACCTGCCGCTATCAGGTCAACCTTCGCTGCCGAAGCCGCTTCTTGAATCGCTTTCTTGTTCGCCTGGTCCAGGTCGTCACAGCATGCACTCTCATGGACGTTACAGCTGACATTCCTCAAAAGCTGCCGTCATAAGCTCATCATCAAGGCCTCGAATTCGCCCGCAAGGCTTGCGAGCACGGCTTTCGCTGGCTTCTTCGTCGAGTCTTCCCGCAGCAGCTCGACCAGTCTCGGTTGGCAAAAACTTCGGGCGAAGCTGGAAAGCGGCCGGCTGCGACTGTCCGACCACGTGATCATTTACACATGGCGGGAGGGGAGGCCTTAAAGGGGGGGGGGGCCTCCCCCTTATACAATGGTGCAGTCACCGTGTGGAGTCCCTGCAGTGGCTCGAAATCAATCATTTGCGTGCTTACGTGCTGTTGGTCCACCAAATAAGTTCCTAAGCACGGTTTTGACCTGGGTCACTACCACTGAGTTGAAGTGGTAAACCACAGCTCCCGCAAGCTCCACAGGGCTAGCTTTCATGACAACTCAAAGTCAGACAAGGTACAGCGGTATGGCACCTGCCCCGACCATGGACAGCTTGTTGTGGTCGCTGAGCTGGCAGAGTTCCGACAGCGCAGAAGCTGCTCTCCCTCGCGCTTGGTGGTCACCTCCGCCACCAAAAATGGCACGGAAAAAAGAATCCAAAACATGTGTTCGACTCCTTCCGGCCGTGTGGCCATCTTTGAGTAGCTCCACCAGAGCCTCAATGCCGCCCGTCTTGCCAATGACCTCCTTGTTTTTAGAGTTGCGGACTGCCAGCTCGCCCAGGGCAGTGGCAGCATACTTGCCTGGCAGTTGGGACAGGCAACAGACAATGGAGGGCACTCGATGGCAAGATCCGAAGAACCGCAGTCCTACGGTCCTACGTTCCATCCCCCTTGTAAGAATCAGTTTTTCCGAGATTGTATCTGAGTATGCATTCGAGGGGCGGGCAGCTGCAGCCGCTCCGGCGTGGTCTTGCACAAGCCTGGTCAGCAGCCAACAATCCAAGGAGTTACATGCGCTGCCCACTACTGTACTTGCGAAAGCTTTGTCAGTTAGAGCTTGATGGTGCAAGAACTTGTGATCAAGAAAGGGTTAGAACGGTTAGAATCTCCGACTTTGTCAGGTCGTCTCAGAGATGCAAGCCCGGTAGCTCAATGAGCAAGGGGATCGCCCCAAGGTCCGCCATGTGAACGCGATTGTCGGCATTTTTTGCCAAAGCAGCAAGGACCCCTGGATCGGCTCAGGGTTCGGCTCAGAAGTTGCGAAAGGGACCCAAGGGCTTGAGTTTTAGTGCTTCGCGGTTGCGATGCGTGTCGCTGACTAGTGACTAGCATCGGACAAGGAAGTGCATGTCAGTTACAATATTCTTATATGCATATTTATGCTTATAAATATATGTGTATATAAACTATACAACAAGTAAGGATATTTTCCGTCCAGATCGAACCCAAAGTCGGAGGCCGAGGACTGAGCTAGGTCGGGGACAAGGTCCCCTTTGCAGATGTGATGGGTTTACCCACCGACCAGGGCGTGCTAATCAGGATAAATAAGGCATGGAGGATTGGGATTTGGGACCAGTGAAGCTGCGAAAACAAACCTCCCACAACTGCGCACAAACCCTCTCACGCCTGCGGCATCCTCGCGGGCTCCCGCATTCTCGTCCTTGAGGAGCTCCATGCCTGGACTTCTTGCAGGCTCGAGGAGGCGGCTGTTGCAGGTTGCGGGAGTTGTACCCTCACTCTCGGATATTCCGACTCCTTGAAAGAGGTTTTCTGTGCTTTGGAAAAAGCTGAAAGGCTGCCAAGGATTTTGAGACCGTATCTCTCAGTGCGGAGTGGAACTCAGCGTTTCAAGGGTTACGCAAGAGTTTGTCTGAGAGGTGTCGGGCTTCAAGCGCTCTCGTCTTTCAGGCTGCGCTCTGCCAAGGCACATGGCCGGATGCCGCCACTTCGAGACACAGTTGCCACGTTTTTGGCGTGGCCGCCTGCCCAACGCCCAACAAATTGAAGGGGACTGCCACGCTCGAACTGATCTCATGAACACTCGTGCCGGCAGTTTTGGCGACCCACCTGCAACGAGGACATGGAGCACACCGGCCGCCGATTCACGCATAGCTGCTGACTCGTCCGAAAGGAGCTGAATCCTCAAGTCGGACTCCAGCTCTTGCCAACATGACGTTTTCACTTTTGCGATCCAGGATGCACTCAAATCGACAGGACACACGACCACCCTAGAAAAATCACACGGCACATTATGGCATGTAGCACTGAACAATGCAAAGCAGAGACAAACCTGCAAAAGTAGATTCTTCGACTTCTTTGGTCGCGTCAAGGCTCAACTTCTGAATGGTGCCGCTAGTAGCACCGATTGCCTCGAAAGCATCGAGTGGACCGCACTGCAGCTTCGGGCTTGGTGGTAGTGATTAGCACCTTGCTGACAGCTGTCTACGCCGGCTTGAGGAAAGGAGAAGAACATGGAGACGAGTGTGTGTGTGTGTGTGCCCAGCTTCGAACATGTGTGTTGCAATGGAGGCAGCTTCCGAAGCACGCTTTTGACACCACCGTCGCAAGCCTTAGTCCTAAGCCCTGCGTAAGGCCAGGAGGCAGATTGGTTGTCTTCATGGTCTCGTGCCAAGGACTTCAGAACCGCTGCTGCCAGCTGCCGCAGGTTTCCATCGTTTAGCAGCTCCGTCAGAGGTGGGATGGCCCCTGCACGGGTGATGTTGTCCTGCAGGTGGAATACAGGCGGCTGAAGCAACTCGCATTGCAAGTTGGCTTTTGTCTACTCCTCTTCTGACCTAGCAGGATTATGACGAACTCTTGTAAGGCTTTCGAATTCAGCTATCACCACGCAACCCAGACCGACCCAGACTGACGAAGGCTCACGGTCTAACCATCCATGTCGTCCTGGTGCAGGGGGTCGTGCGAAGCTACATTCAGAAGCAGGTGTAGGACAGAGTCCCGGGCATCTGCGGCACCTCCGGATAAAAGTACCACGAGACGCTTGATGCCCCCATGCTCCACAATGGATGTCTCGTTGTCCATGTTGCCTTGGGCCAGACTCCACAAAGCTTTGGCAGACTCCACACGCACCTTGCTGAAGTCGTGGTCCAGGTGCTCCACCAGTAAAGGGATGGCCCCAGCCCAGGTAATCGCCATCTGCGCTTCTGCTTGGCTACTTGCCAGGGTTCGCAGCAGTGTGCTGGCATGTTGTAGCTGTTCCGAAGAGCCGCCTCTAAGCAAACTGACAATGAGTGGAATGCCACCATGATGCCAAACTGCATCTCTGTGTCGGGGGTCTGCAGCCACCAAACCATCGATCAAACCCAGGGCCCGTTCACTAACTTCTTTGGACTCGTGCCGCAGGAGGCTCAGCAGAACCGGTATGGGCTCTTCCATGCTTGCACGGTCTGGTGGCGGCAGCTTGGGTATGTTCGGTGCATTCGGCGCGTTTGGTGAGGAAGAGTATGCAGCTGGTGATGACTCCGGTGAGCGAGTAGGATCAATGCACGTCACAGCGAGTTTTCCCTGATCCTCCATCAGTGACCGAACAATCGCCTCCAAGTCCTGCATTTCTTTGATGCTTTTAATCTGCTCGGACTGGATGGCCGGCATTCGCACCCTGATGGACTGGATGATGTTGCGTAAGTTGACGTTGGGTATGAGTGTCGTATGAGGCAGGCTCATGTTGGTCTTTGGGCTGGAGCGCTTCCCCAACCTCGAAATGCGCACATGGGTAGAAGGCGAGGATACGACGGATAATTAGTGCAAAGGCGACATTTTTCGGGTGCACCTGATGAGCCACTAAGTTCGTGTCAAGTCTCGCAAGCCACTTCTGTATGAAGTCCTTCTCGTAGGAGTGTCCATCTGCGCACACCACTGGATCCTGATGGAGTGGAAGGTCTCGTCAGTCTCTAAGAGAAGGCAAGGGCACCCCTTTACCTGACTTCCGGGCTGGTCATAACAGCCTCGAAATGCCGCCAGAGCCGCAACCCGGGCCCCAAACCCAGAGGCCTTAATAATTGGAATAGGGTTTAAGGGTATAGCATACTATAATCCAAAATAGTATTGCTAATTATTAAGGCCCCTATAGTATAGTAACCTCTAACCTGCAAAAAGAGGCGCCTCCATGACCTGCTGGGAAATGGGACAGATCGCATCCTCGACTGGGCTATCAAAGCTACACGGAGCGATCCGGGCGGGGCGACAGCACTGCTGCTTTTAGTGCGGCTGACAGTGGTGAGGGAGGCTGCAGGCGCTACTAATTTCTCTTATCGCTTGTGCATTTCTGTGCCCGATATCTAGCTATAGATATCACCAAGGGTGCTCTAATACACGCTTCTGCGTACTATCGGTTGCCCTTCTCCTTCTGATCATAGTAGGATATACCAGGCATCAAGCTGCGGTGCTACCGCCCATTGTTTACATCTGTCAATTCAATGTTAAACCTGCAACTCATCTTGTTGCAGTTGCGATCTGATCATCATAACCAGGTGGCTACTCTTCACTAGCGTAAACACAGTAGTCCTATCCCGAGCATAGTCAGAAACACGACCGTCATCATGTGTTAGCACTTTCTCTTCTGACCGCTATCGTTGGCACTGTTACTGCCGGGTTTCTTCCTTGCACTACTATCGTTCATCATCATTGCCATTTATCAGCAGCACCTGCGGGCAGCAGAGGCAAGAAGCAAGTGTATCGTTGTGGCACTATCCGCATTGCAACTTCTTTGGCTCGCAGCGCAACTTCTCCTCCTCATGCTCCTTGCTACACGAGTGCCAGCACTCGCATCAGTCTTGGCACATAAGGTCCCTTTCGTCGTCCTTGCCATCGGATGTCGTCGGCAGAGGCGTCTTTCATCATCATCATCATCATCATCATCATGATCATCATCAGAGGCCAATGAGCACACATGGAAACAGCAACGACAGCAGTTGTAGCTAATGCTGGCACTACGCAGGTATGACATGTGCTCTCACAAGTCTTGTTGCAGTCGAACAAAAATCGCAAGTCCTCCGGGATGGTGAGAAGCTCGCCAGGCAATGCTTGCAGAAACGCCATGAGCAACGGCTGGACAGGTCTTTTGTCACAGGCTCTACTTGGCAAGCGACTCTGTGCCCGACTGCTAGGCTCTGATTGTCCGAACAAGTCTAAGGTCATTCCAAGGTCCAACGGCATGAGTTCAAGCCACAATGCTTCCTCACTCGCTCCTTCTGAGATTTGCATGAAGGGTCACGGAGAGATTGCTGAACGCCTCGCATCGCAAGCTTCACCTGCCTCTGCCATATGTCGTCCCACTCCTGGCGAGCATCGGCCCCTCGAAAAAGAGCCTGGCAAGTGAGCAGTTGCACAAGCCGAACAGCCAATCTTGCAAGCCGAGCAAAGGAGGACCATAGCATCGCCCACACTGCGTGGCGGGAGATCGGATTTTCCTGGTGCACTGCAAGACTGGATGCATGCCCGAGGCTGCGGACACCAACAGAGTCAACAGCAGCAACTCGCTTCAGCAGGTTAACTGCCAAGCACTCTCACGAAGACGGCTGGCCCGGCTAGCACTTGCCCGCCCCACCGGTGTTCTGCTGTTCTGAAACAATGGCGGCTGTCATGACAAGCCCTGCCTTCACGCACCTGGTCAAAGGCCTGACGCGCACGGTCGCGCTCCTCCTTGGTGTAACCTCCATGGGAGCTCAGGTCTCGTGCTCGAGCTGTCAACTATAGAGCTGCACAGACAATACACTGCTAAGTATGTGCGAACACAGATCTTCGCTGGTGTTGTTGGGGGAGACTCCCCTTCAGCGCATTGTGACTGTAGCCTTCTATATCTGGGGTTGTCTGGACTTGTTGCTGCCTTCCGCGGATAGGTGGGTCGCCAAGAATGCCCGTAGCTGGTTCACCGACAGCGCCTGCACGCATGAACTTGCGTCAAGTCCATAGCCCGCGAAATGCGCAGCACGAAGACAGCTCTTAGCCTTGTGAGAGGACAATTGAGCCGCGTCCAAGGACTCGGAAATAGCTGCCTGCAAGGACGTAAGACCTGAGATCCGGGTCATGAAGCGGGACGGAGTGGGTCCGGCATCAAACTATGGCCCCGGGCTCTCCTAAGCCTAAGCCCTGAATGAAGGTTTACTGTCAGAGGGGCTTTTGCGGTTTCGCTGAAAGCCCCCCCCCAAAGCTGATGGACTTCGAAGAAGTCAGTCGACGCGATGTGCTGAGGCAGCCGAAGAATTACTGTACCAGACTGGGTCATTATGATGCGATAATAGTACTGCAAGAGCTGTTGCTGTAGATTGATGTGGCTACATATTTCCACAGTCCATCTACCGACTGGTATAGGGACTGCGCCAAGGTCGTGGACAATTGCAGGTACAGCCCGCAGAGGAACCTGAAAGCATTGCATTCGCTGATCACAAATCATTGAATCCGCCGGCCTTCTGCGAGAACTTGCTAGCGTAGTTGACGAATATTCTTTCTATCTCCGCCTAGACATTCAGTCGACAGGATGCAGGACACGTTTCATGCTTAAGACCATGGTCAATTCAAAACCGGCCTGTTCTTGCATGGTATACTGTTCCAAGAAAACCACGAACTCTTCCAGGTCCAGAGTAGGATATTCTGACCTTGGGCTATGCCAGCATAGCCGAGGTGCCACGAGGAAGGCGTGAACCCGAAGCCACTCTGGGATTCTCACAGTTGGCTCGCGACTTGAATTGATGCCTCACTTGCGTCGTGCGCGCCCTTCTGCTTTCAGATGCGGATGGCTTCACCGGGCAGGCCGCTTGACTCTAAGCCATCAACTTCGTGATTCACGCCGACGTAGCCCAAGTGCCTCGCGGCAGCACAGAGGTCCTGAGGGAAAGCGACAGAAGAAAAATGGCAAGATTGAACAGATTGAACAACACATCAAGACTAGTCATGCCGAAAACCAACTGGCAGATCATTTTATGCCTGGCCATGTGCACCAAGATGGGGTGAAACAGGTCATGGGTTCGACGCTCTGGCCAGCACAACTTTGGCAGCCAGGCTACTATGTCAGGACCAGGAGCAAATCGAAGTCTCAGTCACCTATACGATCAACAGTTAGAAAGTAGTGACTGGCCATGTCCCCATTGCGCATCCTTATCTGTTGCTTCTGCTTGTGGCTGTGTTTGGCGGCTCCTGTCTCTGCAATCTTCTGGAATTGAAAGCATGAAAACCCGTAAACTTGGAATAATGACTAATAGTGATGATGACGCGCCGACAGGGATAATGCTGGCAGCAGCGGCGCAAGTGATGATGGCGATGGTGCGAATTTGTGATGCTTGCTCCTGCATAGGTTTAAGTGACGAGGGAAACTGATCCTAATGCTGTTTGTGCAGTCGACTGCACTTCAGGTGGTGGCGGCGCTAAGGCGTAAAAGAAAAGAAGCTGATGGTGGGAAATGTGGCGACTGAGTACCATGAGCATGAGGACCAGGACGAGCATGATCAATACTGTGATGAAGATGATCGTGGCGACGAAGACAGAGGTGATCAAGATTACGCAAAGATGTTGAAGATGGTGATCGTGATAACACCCAACATGCTCGTTGTCATCACTTTCATGGCTGTGCTGACCGTGATCAAACAAATGCAGCACATCAGTGGCCATTTTCATGCCGCAGCACATGATAAAGAAAACAGAACGACAATTCCCATGACTGCTGGGGATAAATAAAATGAAAGTCATGATAATGGTGGAAATGATGCTGGCAGGGCGGACACAATCACGATCATGATACTGTGCCTCAGCTAGGAGGAGTGTGGCGGTGAGTTGCAGCCGGGCAGCCGTAGTAGAATCAGGTGTCGAAACAATAGAGACAGTGGCAGCAGTAGCAGCAGTAGCATTGGTAGTGTCAGCGGTAGTGCTAGTGGCCGCGTCCGTGGCCGTGGCACGTAGCAGCAGAAGTTGTGGCTAGTAGTCGTTGTTGTCGTCGTCGTAGTCGTAGCAGTCGTAGTCGCAGTAGCAGTACTACTTGTAGCAGCAGTAGCAGCAGTAGTAGTAGTAGTAGTAGTAGCAGCAGCTGCAGCAGAGGAGGAGGAGGAGTCGTAGTAGCAGCAGCAGCAGAGGAGGAGGAGGCGTCGTAGTAGTAGTAGTAGTAGTAGTCGTCGTCGTCGTCGTCGTAGTAGTTGTTATTGTTGAACTAGTAGTAGAAGTAGTAGCAGCAGCAGCAGTGGCAGCACTTGTATTTGATGGTTCTCGCCACAGCAATAAAAGTAGAAATAATAACGGTGTTGTGATTTCAAGAGCAACAATAAGAGGGAGAGTAATGATAGTCGCGGCAACAATGCTGTAGGCTAGCGGTGATGATTTGCAGCGTGGCCACGGCTTTATCATCTCTTCTTTCTAGCTCCTCGCCCGACTCCCTTCGCAGCCGCACGCTCATCGAAGTTGGGAGGGCCTTTCAGAATCACCTCAGTCGCCCACTCTGACTCACCACTTTGATTCGTGTTCGGCAACCACCTCTCAAATCCCTTGATGTTCAGAATGCGTGCACACCACCATGGCTCAGCACAGAAGGCTCTGACTGGTACCTTCATACGAACTAGAAAGGAGGAGGGCTTCGTCCCAGGGACACGGAGACTCGATGTTCCATCTGTCTCCTTCTTGGGCTCTACCTTGCAGCCAATGTACCTCGAAGGGCGCACAATATATCCGGAGAGCACCCCGAGAGTGACAGAGTACAAACAGACATAAGCACCTTTCCCGCCTTCCGACAACTTGGGCGTTTTTTTCGCTCGCCAACTCGGCAGCACCCTGGCTGGTGACATCAATCCAGAGACCAGGCGTAAGATGCCTTGGCCAAGTTCTGCTTCGACTTTATAAGTTGGCCTCGCCTCGAATGGTGCACGTCTGATGAACAGCGACAACACTACTGTTCATGATATAAATCCTGCATTACCTTAAGGACCCTAAACTATGGGAATTGTGGCACATTGCTTTTTATGGGTTAAGCAAGATTTATACCATCAACACCATCAACCGTATCAGTCAGAATGACCAGCAAGTGTTGTCAAATTGGTCATGGCAACATGATGCTATGCAACGCCAAAGAGTTGCATCCACAAATGGCCATATGTTGACGTATGTACACACACACACACATGCGTTTGTGGGTGTGTGTGTGTGTGTGCGCTCGCGTTGAAAGCACCTGTGTTGAGATGCGTTGACATGTGTTGACATGTGTTGACATGTATTGACATGTATTGACATGTCTGTCTGTCTGTCTGTCTGTCTGTCTCTGTCTCTGTCTGCATCTACATTTGTCTGTTTGCGTCTGTGTGCGCTGATTGTCAGAGCCTCGGGCTCCAGCTACCTTGTAATTTAGCTTCATGGCAGGACCGTTGCAATCCGCATGTGCTTGCTGCGAGACGCCTCTGTAGAATGGTTGTGGAAGGGTCAAACCATTCCAGTCAAACAATCGAGAAGACCAAGGAGGAACTCAGTATACCGAACACCGAACCAAACAACAAACAACGGCGACAAAACTCGAACGATCAAAAGAAGTTGGAACTCAAGTATCTCAAGTTTGAGACAACCAAAAGCATGAAAAAACAAAGCTGTTGTTCAAGGGTAGACATGACTTCCGATGTAAAGATGCTCTAAGCTGAAGGTTCCTGGAGACTATAAGTAGTTGTAGGGTGCAGCTTGTGGTGGGCTGCCAGGCTTGTAGCCAGCTAGACCTTTGGCGTTGCCGTCTGAAATCTTTCCCAACAACGATTCCAGCAACAGAAAGGCTTCTTCTTTAGAAGTGTCTATGTGTGCACTGCACGTATCGAGCTGTACTTGATTGTACTTGCTTCCTCTTCCTTGAAGTCGGAGGCACAATTTATGGGTCAATCAAACGGTCCACGAAGTAGCTCCTCTGAACTAGAAATTACGGCTTCTCTACAGGTACTTAAGCATGTGAACACATTGCGGCAGACAAGCTGCAATGCCCAGATGAGCACCGCGCAGAGTCCCTTTCGCTTGTTGAAAGTGCGCTTACCATGGCCGCCCACAATGGGATCGAAGCAATACTTGAACAGCCTGAAGTGATGCAAGCCGACAGCTTCGGTCCCGCGGTTCAGTGCTGGGGCAGGCGGGGTTGGTACTGAAACTCTACTACCATGGCCCAAGCCGGAGTCGTGATCAACCGAAACCACTCCTGGGTAACACATGCTTGATTGCTTGATCAGCCGATACCGGTGAACCCACACCAAGCTTGAATCAGTCGACACTGTCGAAACCACAAGCGCTTTCTCGTTGGTTCAGGTGACAATCATGACAGATAGGCTGTCTTCTGCCAAGCTGCTGCTTCACTGCATCCGAAGCTTCAACGAGGCCTGAGTTCTGTTTTTCAGTGCCGTCCGACACCTACATCTACCACATGCTTGTTGCCTTGTGATGCGCACATGCAGTGGTATGTATGTACACCAATAATATACATAAATACATACATACACACACATACATAC